GCCTTCTGCACGCTGGCAAACCTCACGCCCCTCGGCCTTCTGCACGCTGGCAAACCTCACGCAGAAGCAGAAAGCCTGACACGCAATACGGTGGCAGGAACGGCGTCAAGAGACTTAGGATTTTGGAAGAGGTTAGCAGAGGTTAGCCTCCACAGTAGAGGCTCCCTGCAGCGCGCCTGTGTTAGGTTTACTGTGGCACACTGCAGGGACAGCTGGGCTGTGCAGAAGCCACAGAGGAGCTGTAGAGATGCCTGAGATGGAAGACAATGGGGTTCTGAGGTCACATGACAGACACGTAAGTGACACTGGGGGGAACCGTGTGTCAGGCAGCAATCTCTTCCTCTGCACTGGAACAAGGAGGCTTCTTAAAACTCAGTAATGCAAACTCACAAGTCTTGAGAAGTTCCTGAAACTTACAAGGCCTCAGGGCCCAGCCCCAGATTCCACCAACAGTAACATTCCCAGGGAGATGCTTGGAGTTGTCTGCCTGTGAAATGTGCAGGGGTTTTGGATGTGTCCCAGGCTGCGGTGGATTTGTAAGTGATGCTCTGCCTTTGAGTCTACATGTGCTCCTGTCAGTGACCCCTGACCCGCAGTCTAGAAATCACCCCAATAAGTGTGTTAGGCTGCACTTGGGAGGAAGTGCTTCTTTGGTATTTTTAGCGCTCTATCAGGTCTTCCAAGAAAAGTCACACAACATGATAGATGGTTCTAGAACAAGTGCCCATCCCAGAAGGCTGTGTGATAAGCCAGAGGCCTGAGGCTGGGAGGCTGGAGAGGCTCTCAGGATACCCAGGTCCAGGATGTCAGCCAGCGGTTACCACCCCCTTCACGCCCTCACCCCACGACACTGGGGACCTGGGGCCGCGGCAGCCTGGTACCTCAGAACTCTGTAGACGGTCCTGCTGGAGACCGAGTGGGGTCCACAGCTCTCAGTCATCCCATAGATCTCTCCAATAGGGATGTCCAGACTGAGGAAGAACTCGGAGACATCCTGGGAGAGGGGCGCGGCCCCGCTGTAGAAGGAGTGGCAGTGGTCCAGGCCCAGGGAGGTCCGGACCTTCGCGAACACCAGGGCCTTGGCCATGCGGTAGTTTATGGGGATGTCTCGCTTCCTGGGAAGGGCATCATCAAGGAGACCCAGCTGCAGGTGGCAGAGCCTCCTCTGTGCCCCCACACCCATCGCAGGACACGCTGCCTACCCCAGCATCCGCTTGGTGTTGGTCTTCAGGCCGAGTATCTTCGCCCAGGTAAACGCCTTCTTCCTCAGGCTGGAGGACCTCGATACATTTTCCTTGATGTTCTCCTGCATCTTCTCCCAAACACAAGGCACCCCCAGGAAGACGGTAGGCTTCACCTCCTGAAGAGTGTACACCAGGGTGCCCTGCCCGGAACAGAGCACCTTCAGGAACTGTACATGTCCCTCTCCCTTCCTCAAGAGCAGCCTTTGGACCAGGCGTGAGGACAACGCCCTGGCTCCACAGCAGCCAGTCAGGCTCAGATTCATTCACCCCCACACATGCATGTTTGCACGTGTGCACATGTGTGCAAGTACATGAGTGTGCAAGTGCGTGCATGTGTGAGCACATGTGTGCACGTGTGAGTACATGTGTGCATGTGTGTGAATAGGTGTGCATGTGTATATGTGTATATGCTCGTGTGTGCATGTGTGTGCAAGAACATACAAACCAGTCCACAGACAACGTTTTACATTTATGATCATCTGCTTTCAGCACCTGTCTTATGAGTAGTTCCCTGCAGCTGGGAAAGGTGCAAACAGTCATGCGTGTCTTACAATCGTACTTCTCACCCAACATGAAAATCAACTCTAAATGAAGCTAAAAGCAGAGAGCACATGAAGGAAAACGGGAAATCTTTGTCATAGCAGAGCATGGGGGAAATCAATAACCCAAACCTCATCAAAGCCAAACTCCCTTCATGCTTCAGAAGCCCGTGAAGGAAAAACAAAGCCAGAGAACTGGGAGAGACATTTGCAGATCATGGCACCTGGTAAGGATTCATTACCTGAACATGTAAAGAACGCTCAAAGATCAGTGTGATTAGACATACAAAGAAAACGTTAAATGCAAAAGATTTGAACAGAAATTAAATCCGAGGAGCCCTCCACCTCCCTTCAGACAAGAGCAAGCCTCCCAACGACATCAACCAAATACGGCCAACCAGACGCCGAGGGGAGGCTGGAGGTGATCGAGATGTATTGTATGAGAAGAATAAAGAAAAAGAAAAAAGGGGACAAACATTTGAAAAAAGAAAGAAAGAAATGAGATCCAGGCAGTCAGTGAACCCGCAAAGATGTTCAGCGTCACTAATAATGAGAGAAATGTCGGTGAGGACGGTGACCATCCATTTCACACCCTGAGATGTGAGTGGGTGTGACACTTTAAAAAACGGAAACATGACTTGCATTGGAAGGTGATGGAGCAGTGGGGAACCCGGTCAACCATCCCACACTTGATGAAGATGTCTGTAAAGGGGAAACGTTCGAGACCCTTGGGTCAGTGGAGACATGATGCAAAGATCTGGGCACCAGGCTCTGTGTTGAGTGCTGACCCTGCATCCCATCCCATTCTACAAACCAAACGCCAGCCGCCACACACACGGAGGGCAGGGGAGGAAGGCCAGCGTCCAGCACCTGAGGCTCGGCTGCCAAGCAATCCCCAGAGACGGTCTGCTCTGCTCCACAGCACCGGGGTTATGGCATGCAGGTGGCCACGCCAGCTTTTAACATGAGTGTTGGGGATTTGAACTCAGGTCCTAATCGTCGTGCAGCAAGTAGCTGTCTCTGCAGTGTGAGCATCAGCCCTGCTATCTGTGGTATGCCATGTCCCTGGGGCCCACGGAGGGAACACGTCCCACCAGAAAGCATCCATGTGATGACATCATGGCAGGAGACGTCATATTGAAAACCTCAGCGCCCTGGTTATCTGGATCACTCCTGGCCATGTGTGACTTCTTTTTCCTTCACTTTCTTTACGGCACTCCTGTGGAGGTCAGAGGACACCTGGAAGGAATCTGTTCTTCCATCGTGTGGGGACTGGGGATCAAACTCAGGTCCTCGGGCCCCATGTCCATGCAGCCACACACGTCACTGCTCCCGGGACCCCGACGCCTTTCCCCTTTCCTCTTTCACCAGCACTCACTGTAAATTTAAACTTTAATATAAATTCAAAAAGTAACAATAAATTAAGGATCTTGAGAAATCAGGTTTTCTGGGTGATCACGTGGCTCAGTGTCCTGACGAGGGTCATACAGGAGGAGGACAGGGACTTCAGGAGGGGCCTGAGGCCCGCAGGTGTGTTGTGTGATTGCACATGTATGTATGGCATCTGTGTGTTTACATGTTCATATGTTTGTATTTATGTTTGCCACTATACATAAATGTATACTGTGTTTATCTGTATGTGTGCGTGTCTATGTTTATCATTTGTATGCATTTTTGGTTAGTGTTTTGGCAACTTGAAACAAACTAGAGTCATTTGGGAAGAAGATTTCCAATTTAGAAAATGCCTCCACCAGATTGGCCTGGGGGGCATTTACTTAATTAGTGATTGATGGGGAGGCCCAGCCCACTGTGGGTGGTGCCATCTCTGGGCTGCTGGTCCTGGGTTCTCTAAGAAAGCAGACTGAGGAAGCCATGGAGAACAAGCCAGTAAGCAGCACCCTCCATGGCCTCTGCCTCAGCTCCTGCCTCTAGGTACCTGCCCTGTGTGAGTTCTTGTCCTGACTTCCTTCAGTGATGGAGTATGATGTGTAAGCATAGGCCAGAGAAACCCTCTCCTTCCCAAGCTGCTTTTGATCAAGGTTATTGTTGGGGGTTTTGCTGTGGGATGTTCTGTATGGCAAATGTGTTGCTCTGATTGGTTAGTAAATAAAACACTGATTGGCCAGTAGTCAGGAAGGAGGAAGTATAGGCGGGACAAGGAGGAGAAGAATTCTGGGGAGTGGAAGGCTGAGTCAGAGACACTGCCAGCCACCGCCATGACAAGCCGCATGTGAAGATGCCGATAAGGCACGAGCCATGTGGCAAGGTATAGATTTATAGAAATGGGTTAATTTAAGATATAAGAACAGTTAGCAAGAAGCCTGGTATGGCCATACAGTTTGTAAGCAATATTAGTCTCTGTGTTTACTTGGTTGGGTCTGAGCAGCTGTGGGACTGGCAGGTGAGAGAGATTTGTCCTGACTGTGGGCCAGGCAGGAAAACTCTAGCTACAGGGTTTTTGTTCTTTTGAGGGGCCCATCACTCTGCTCCCAGATAAATCACTCACAGAGGCCTATTCTTAATTATCAATGCCTGGCCTTAGCTTGCCAGCTTTCCTTAATTTATCCCATCTACCTTTTGTCTCTGTGTTTTTCCCATTCTCTTACTTCTGTAAATCTTACTCTGTCGTCTGTGGCTGGCAGTGTGTGTAGCTGGGTAGCTGGTGCCTGGAGTCCTCCTCCTCCTCTGGATCCTAGCTCTTCCTCTCATCCATCTCTATTTTTCTCCTCCCAGATTTCTCCTTCTATGTATTCTCTCTGCCTGCCAGCCCCACCTATCCTTTCTCCTGCCTCCCTATTGGCTGTTCAGTTCTTTATTAGACCATCAGGTGTTTTAGACAGGCACAGTAACACAGCTTCACAGAGTTAAACAAATGCAACATAAACAAAAGTAACACACCTTAAAATAATATTCTACTACATTTCCCTCCTTTTTGTCTAAATAAAAGTTTTAACTTTAACATACTAAAACTACATACAACAAAACAATTATCAAATATCAATTACATTTACAATAGTCTCTCCATTTGTAGTTAGCGTTTCAAAGAAAATAATGCATTATCTATCCTATCTTAGTAAATTCAAAGTTTTACATCTAACTTACTTTCTATCATAATTAAGAAAAGCTGCAACTATAACTATCTAGTCTTCAACTCCATCAAAGACCCAGAAGGGTGTATTATTATCTAACAACAGAGACATTTGGCTGCCTTGACAGTCACCCAAAGTTCCTCTGCAATGCTCGGGCACCCATCTTCAGCTTACAGGTCCAGAGTATCTGGCATACTTTCCAGTGAAGCAGGAATTTTGGAGAACTGTCCTGCCTTGTTTTGGCAAAGTTCAACAGTCTTTTTCCTGTGTGTCCTGCATGTCCAGTCTACATAGCACATTGTCAGCAGTCAAAGGCAAAAGCAATTTCTTTGCCTAGTGGCTAACCTTGCCACAATGAAAGCAAACTCCATAAGGAGTTTCTTCAATGTCCATCGTCCTCTCTGAAGTAAATTGGTACTTCCAGAAACAGATGTGTCTCATTGTCATGAAAACTTTAAATTAACCAAACATTTTAAATGCAATATTCTGCAGGTCTTTGAAAGATTTGAAGACCATCTACCTATCTAGACTATGTCTCTATATAATCTGGAAAGCATACCTAACATATCTACAAATTTGATTATTATAAATGACTAACCACTGACCTATGTTTCCTGGTTAGCCTATATAGTTTATAATGACAGCTTTCAAAAACTAGAACTTTACATTACATTTTTAAATAAACTGCATAGGTACAATACCTCAAACAAAAACAGAAACATATATACAATATGTTGTAACAAAAATAACCTTAAATTTTTATCAATATATGAAAATCATTTAAACAAGAGTAGAAACATATACAGTGTAACAAAACTAACTTTAATTTTGTATTATATACTATATTGCCCTAAATGAAAACAAACATCCATAATCCATCAAATAAACAACCCCCCAACTCTTGGGAGTGTGGGTGTAGTTTTCTCCGTACTTCTCCCTGCTGTCTGTGGACAAACTATCTTTAGATTCCCAGAGAGAAAACTCTGAGATAATGGCCAAGTCCTGGGAAGACCAGCAGTAAGCTTTGCTGATAGATATCACCACCTGTCAAGTTTCAGGAGGTCTCACCTGATCCAACCTGATCCATATTAACCCTGAGGGAATCCACAGCCTCTCATCTCCTGTGTGAACAAATCTCCAAAGCATTTTTTATTTCCACTTGACAAATATATTTTTACTTTTTAAAAGCTAAGGCTTTCCTAAAGCATATAGGCTGATTTATTTCAACAGTCCCCCTTTCAATTCCAGGTCTCTTTGCAGCTGTCCTTTGCTTTTCAACATTCAAAAAAATTCAAAATCAACACAATAACATACAGGATCCAGACATCTGTGTATTTCCCATCTTACGTGGTTTTTTTTTCTTTTAACTCTCTCTTTAAAGACTTTATTTTATAAACTATTCATTTTTTTCTATGACTATACCCTTTTCCTTTCCTTTCCTTTTTCTTTTCTTTTCTCCCCCCCCCCCCCCCCCCGCCCCATGAGACAGGGTTTCTCTGTGTAGCTTTGTGCCTTTCCTGGAACTCACTTGGTAGTCAGTGGCCTTGAACTCACAGAGATCCGCCTGCCTCTGCCTCCCGAGTGCTGAGATTAAAGGTGTGTGCCACCACCGCCCGGCTCCTTTTCCTTTTCTTAAGCCTACACACATTGTTAAACACATTGTAACCTGCTTAGAAGTTTTTCTGTCTCGACCCCTTTTATTGCACATCTTCAGCCTTTTTTGTCCATACGAGCAAACCTTAGGCTGCTAACAGACACCTGGATCCTCTGAGTGTGGCACTCAGCTGGCTCTGCCCACTTCTTGGGTCATGAAAACCAAGCATGAAACTTGAGGCTGGTTTGTTGGAGGTTTGTCTGACCAGGAACTGCCTTCAGCCTTCCTAGAGCTCTAGAATGCCAATGCTTGCACTGCGGCAGGTGTTTTTTACTTAGTTTTTTTCTCCTACTTAACATACTAGCTGCTCAAGGGCTCAGTGACCAGCAGAAACTGTCCCGCAGAAACTCTTAAAGGAGCTATATGTATATTTTTTCAGCTTTCTCAGGCCCTACATGGAAATACAAGCCTCACATTGGACACCAAAGTGTTGGTTTTTTTCTCTTTTGGGGGGCCCACCACCCAGCTCCCAAACAAATCGTATACCAAGGCTTAGTCTTGATTATCAATGCCTGGCCTTAGCCTGGCTTGTTGCCAGCTCTCCTTAACTTACATTATCCTGCTTACCTTTTGGGCTTTTCGAATTCTCTTACTTCTGTAAATCTTACTCTTACTCTGTGGCTGGCTGTGTGTGTAGCTGGGTAGCTGGTGCCTGGAGTCCTCCTCCTCCTCTGGATCCTAGCTCTTCCTCTCATCCATCTCTATTTCTCTCCTCCCAGATTTCTCCTTCTATGTATTCTCTCTGCCTGCCAGCCCCACCTATCCTTTCTCCTGCCTCCCTATTGGCTGTTCAGGTCTTTATTAGACCATCAGGTGTTTTAGACAGGCAAAGTAACACAGCTTCACAGAGTTAAACAAATGCAACATAAACAAAAGTAACACACCTTCAAATAATACTCTACTACACAAGGTGTTTTATCACAACAATGGAAATCTTAACTGAGACAGTGTGTTTACATATATATATATATATATATATATATATATATATATATATATATGTAAACACATGTATGTGTTGCGACTGTGTTTATGATGTGTTTATGTGTGTGTGTCTGAATGTGTGAACTGTGTTCATGTGTGTTTTCCTGTGTTCACATGCACATGTATATTCATTGATGTTTGTTTATATGTGTTAGGGGTGAGACTGGAAGATAATGAGCAAGAGGAAGAATAGAGACAGAAGAAGAGGGGTCTGGAGACAGGCTCACTGGTTAGAGCACCTGATGTTCCTGCAGAGCACACAGGTTTGGTTCCCAGCATGCACATGGAGCCTCTTAACTGCCTGGAACTTCAGCTCAGGGGAACCAGTGCCCTCTTGGCTACTAGGGACACCAAGTATGCAATTGGGTACATACATACATGCCATGAACACTTATAAACACACAGACAATGATATGTTTTGAAGATGGAGGAAGAGGCCACAAGCCCAGGAATACAGGCAGCATTTTCTAGAAACTGGAAAAGGCAGGAAAATGGGCATTCCCCAAATGCTCCATGACAACCCAATCCTGGCGACAGCTGAGCTGAGCTTGCCCACAAGCACACACATGTGCTGAGCTTGTGGCCAGTGTCCACCTTGCAGGAGGACACGAAAGTTCCATGTCTTTGTAGTCATGTGGGGCAGCTGTGGCCCGACTCTCACACAGCTCCCCGGGGGTCTTTCGGGGTTGCTCCACCTCCTTTTCCTGGCTTGGATCTTTCCCCTGCCCCTTGCTGGTCTCACTTCCTTCCCATTTTTATACGACTGCAGTAAGTTACAACCCATCTCAGGCTTTGCTCCAGTTATCCCGACCAGGGACAAACAAAGCAATCAGCAGCCCAGCTCACAGTGGAACACTGACTACGGGAAGAAAAGCCGAGGGCACCAATGCCGCCCGACTGAAAAACAAAGGCTCCTGATAACTCCGGGAAAAACTAAGTTGAAGCAGACAGGGCTGGGGCCTTGTGGTCAGCCCCCTGTTGCAGGAACCGAATCCTCTAACACATAGGGAAACAACAGATAATGAATCAAGAAATAGCAACATTATATACACCACAAACACTGGAATTGAATATGAAAGAAATCACCTGATATCTGAACTAAGTCTCACTTAAGGGGTAATCTGGAACACAGGAGAGGCAGCTTCTAACTCGCAGACTTATTTTATTCTATGTATATGAGTCATTTTCCCTGTGCGCGCGCGCGTGTGTGTGCGTGTGCGTGCGCGCATGCACCATGTGAACACCTGGTCCCACGGAGGCATTGAATCCTCTGCAACTGGAGTTACAGAACATTGTGAGCCGCCATGTGGGCGCTGGTAATTGAACCCAGGTCCCCTGAGGAGCAGCTGGTGCTTCTCAGGCCAGGATCTTCTCCCCAGACTTGAGCATGTGTGTGCATGCACAGCCCCACCCCCCCAACACACGTGCATAAGCATACATGAGTAAACACGGCTTTTTTAAGGGAGGAACTCACAAGACGGCTCAGTGGGTAAAAGCACTGGCCACCAAGCCAGATGACCTGAGTTTGTCTTCCACAGGGTAGAGGAGAGAACAGACCCTAAAATTTCCTCTGACCATCGTGTGCACACCACGGTGCACACCCCAATAAACAAATACATGCAAGAAATACTGAAACCACAGATTTTCATCGCCACTGCGGCCTCTCCCTGAGCTTGTTTAGGGTGCAGCCTACACACTGTTCATCAGGATAGGCAAGGAGAATTTACCCAGCTGTTTTCAATGCTGCGGAATGGAACAGAGAATGAAGTGGGAGAAAACGATTCTTAGACTTCTGGCCTGTCCGGTGGACAGACGCTGTCGGCTCCCCAAAGGCCACCCGACGCTTGGTGGGGCCCTCACCCAGCCTTACCCTGAGTGCATCTGGTTGAGCGAAGAAAGTGAGTGCCCCGATCTTTATGGGCATCCAGATGTCCATCATCTGGGCTGCAATGTGGCTGAGGGGCAGGTAGCTGACGATTATCTCCTGGCTCCCTGAGGCGTAGCTCAGATCCAGCTCACGCATCATGGCCCCTGCGGTCCATGTGATCTAGAAAACAAGGTAATTCAGAGCTCTGATGCCTTACCCGAGGACCACTGTGCACACGTGTGTGCACGTGCACACGTGAGGAGGCCTGAGACAGAGATCAGTTTTCTCCCTCAACTGCTCCCATCTTACTGTTTTGAAATTTTATTTCCTGGGGCTGGAGAGACGGCCCAATGGCTTGCTGCTCCTGCAGAGGATCCATTCAGTTCCCTGTACCTACATGGTGGCTCAGACACCCATAGCGCCAGTCCAGGGGATCACCTCTTCTGGCCTCTGAGGGTACCCACAGACACCTGCTCACTTGCTCTGTCTGTCTCTCTCTAACACACACAGACACACACACACACAGACACACACACACAGACACACACACACACATACACGTTTTCTTAAGCTATGGACTTCCCTGTGAGTGCATGTGTACCATCGGGGCAGGCTCTCTTCTGGAACTGGATACTTGTGGTTTGTGGCCAGGATAGCCTGGCAACCCTGTGCCTCTGTCCCACTCACAGCTGGAGTGAAGGGTCATGCAACACCTGGATGGTTATGTGGGTGCTGGGCTCCAAACTCCACCCCTAACCACTGCACCATCTCTCCAGCCCCCTCTGCCTTGTTTTTCAATACAGGGTTCCTCGCTGGACCTGGGGTTCAATGATTTGAGTAGGCTGCCTGGCCAGTGAGCTCCAGGACCTTCCCGTCTTCAATCCCCCGTCACTGGGAGTCCAGACTCTTCACCAGCGTGCCTGGATTTTTATGTGGGTGCTGTGGGTTGAACTCAGGACCTCATGCTCGTGTGGAGAGCATTGCACTAAAGCCCTGACCATGGCCAACTCTTCACGTTTGCAACCCACTACTGTCACCATGCTGGAGGACACAGGAGGGTCCCTAGGACTTGGTGGCTGGCCAGCCTAACCACAGGTGAGCAGAGGGTTCAGTGAAAGGCTCTGTCCCCAAGGGAAGGGGGAGAGTGACTGAGGAAGACACGCCCCAGACGCGTGCCAACAGAATTCCAAGTGTGTAGAAGCATCCAGCAGGCAGGAGGAACGAGGCTGGGGGATGCCGCGTTGGGATGGTTCATCTAGAATGTCAACCTGCAGGTGTTGGGAGACACTCGGCTGCTAAAGCTCTTTTCACACAAGAGCAGAGACTGGAGCGCAGATCTCCAGAACCCAGACCATGTGAGTGGAGTCTAGTCAGGTCACTAGCGCTGTGACGGCGCTCCGTGACCAACGCAACGTGGGGAGGAAAGGGTTAATTCGGTCTACACTTCCAGGTGACAGTCCACCATCGAAGGAGGGCAGGGACCTGGAGGCAGGAGCTGAGGCAGAGGCCATGGAGGGAGCTGCTTACTGGCTTGCTCCCCATGGCTTGCTCAGCCTGCTTTCTAATAGAACCCAGGATCAGCAACCCAGGGATGGCCCCACCCACAGTGGGCTGGGCCTTCCTCACTGATTACTGCTATGAAATATTATTTTAACTGGGCAAAGATGTGTTACATGTATTTATGCTGAAGAATATGACTTTAACCGTGTAAAGGCGTGTTCCTTTTGTTTCTGCTGCTTTTGTTCAATGATATAAGGATGTGTGCTTAACTATGTAAAGATGTGCTGCATCTGTTTCACCTTGCCTGCCTAAGGCACCTGATTGTTCTAATAGAGCTGAATGGCCAATAGCTAGGCAGAAAAAGGCTAGGCAGGCAGAGAGAATGAATAGGGGGAGAAATCTAGGCTGGAGAAAAAGGAAGAATGGAGGAGGAGGAGGAGGAGGAGGAGGAGGGAGATGGCTGGGGCCAGGAGCCAGGGAGCCACGAGTCACAGACACAGAGTAAGATGTACAGAAAGAAGGGGAAAGACCTGAGGCAAAAGGTAGATAATGGGAAACAGGTTAATTTAAGTTAAAAGAGCTGGTCAGAAGAGAGCTAAGATAAGGCTGAGCATTCAAACCTAATAAGAAGTCCCTGTGTCGTGATTTGGGAGCTGGTTGGTGGCCCAAAAAAGAAAGTGGGGTCCAGATGACTAATTAAGAAAAGGTCCCACAGGCCTGCCTGCAGCCCAGTCTTACGGCGGCATTTTTCCGAAGGGAGGCTACCTCCTCTCAGATTCTCTAGCTTGTGTCAAATTAACATAAACTGTCCAGTGCAGTGCATGTGCCGTGGCCTGCCATCCCGGTCACGAGGAAGGTGGAGACAAAGGACTCCCAGAACAAGCCGAACCTGCAATCCTGGGTCTGCAGGGGAGGCCTGACTCCATGTATGGGTGGAGAGCAGTCAAGGACACAAGCACGAGCGCTGGCCTCCACAGACACCCACACACAAGTGTTCTCACACTCCTGTCATCCCAGCACTCGGGGTGGAGGCAGAAGGATCAGGAGTTCAGGGGCATCCTCGGCTACACAGCAAGTTTGAGGCCAGCCTGGGCTACGTGACACCCTGCCTCAAAAACTAAGAACAAAATAAAATAGACCAATCAGGCCGGTGAAATGTCTTGGTGGGTAAAGTGCTTGCCCTGCACGAAGACTGAGTTCCAATTCCCAGAGCCCATGTGGTGATGCTCATCAACAATCCCAAGCCCAGAGAGGCGGGGCAGGAAGGTCCACAGCCAGCCAGCCTTCCCTGATCACTGAAAGACCCTGTCTCAAAGAATCCAAGGTAGATGCCCCTGAGGGACCACAGCTGAGGCCAGGCGCTGGCTCACACACACACACACACACACACACACACACACACACACACACACAAACACAAACACACACACTCACAGAGACATGCACATGAGTTTTTTAAAAGCCACCCACCAGATAAAAACCATGAAACCAACTCTCATTTCACAGACAGGAAGTAGGCAATGGTACGATCAGTTTTTTTGCCCAAGATGGCCCAGCCTGGCTTTGAACCCAGGTCTACTTCCAAGCCCCCAGCTCCAACAACTGTCCAGTTAGTTCCCCATGGAGCAAGGGCCACACCGACCTCACACACTCCTCCATGCCACTCTGTTTTGCCCAAGGCAGAGGTGCTTACATTGTCATGGCTCAGCATCACCCCTTTGGGGTGCCCCGTGGTGCCCGAGGTGTAGATGAGGAGCGCGCACTGGTTGGCCTTCTGGCTCAAGATGATACGATCCAGCTGCATGACGGGGATGGCGTTCCCCAGCTCCATGAAGTCATGCCACTGTGGACGGGAAGGTGGCTGGAGGCTGGGGACCGGCTGGTCCTGCTCAGACCCCATCCCGCGGGCTTACCCCAAGGCATGTGGCCAGCTGGTAGAGAGGAAGGGCCGAGGGCCGTGGGAGCACCCAGAAAAGCCCAGGACTTTCACACCCCAGCCACCTTCCCGGGGCCTGCCAGCTCAGACAGACCTCGGCTACGGCACAGGAACGCTAGCCCTCTCTGGGCTGTCCCAGGAAGAGGCTGACTGGCTGTGCCGTGGCCTTGGTCTCCTGACCAGCCCTCTGGGGCACAGGCTATCCTGAAGGACAGCATGGGCTGTAGGTAACAACAGACTGACCCTCAGAAGGTTAAAGATTGTTAAAATTATTTTTATTTGCTTGTTTCGGGGTGCATGTATGAGGGGACGCATGCCCCGGTGCACCTGCAGAAGTCAGTTCCTTCCTTCTACCATGTGAGCTCCTGGGTTCAAGCCCCTTTACCTGCTGAGCCCCCCCCCACTGGCCCCACCCCCAGGAGTCAATGACCCCTGAAGGGAGCTCCCATTCCAGGCTTCCCCACCCCAGAAGTCATCCCTGATGGGGTGAAGCCAGACTACCCCATCAATCCAGGACTGGCTCTACAGAGCTCACAAAGGGGACAGAACAGCCAGGAATGCAGGGTCTGAGGGGCGGGGACTAAGAGCTGGGAGACTGGTGACATGAAGCCCGGAGGACCACGGGAGCCCCTGGCTGCAGCCCTGCCTGAAGCCAGCCCTCTGAGCTGCCGCTGAAGGACTGGCAAATGACCCTCCTTGCTCAAGACATTTGGGTTGGCCTGGTTTTGTTTTGTTTCGAGACAGGGTTTCTCAGTGTAACAGCTCTGTTTGTTCTGGAACTCGCTCTGTAGACCAGGCTGGCCTCCAATTTAGAGACCCGCCTGCCTCTGCTGGGACTAAAGGCAATGGCACCCTTGAGGTTCAGATGATCTTTCCAGGGCAGCTAAACAGATTGAGGCCTTAAAATGTATATTCTTAAGCTGACTCTTAAAACTTGAACCCCTGTCATGGTGGCCGGTCTTTAAATCCCAGTACACAGGAGGCTGAGGCAGTACGATGTGAAGTTTTAGGCCAGCCTGGGCTGTGAGTTCAGAACTAGCCTGGGCTACATATCCAGATCTAGCTCCACTCCACGCTTATAGGGTCTCCCTTCCACTGCAGAGTGGGTAGGTACGTTGCTATGTAACAGAATCATCCCCGTAAGTGTCCCCGTTAGCGGCACTGAGCCGGTGGGAGTATGGCATGATCTATGGATTGACTTGTTCCTACGGGGAGAACGCTGCTGCCACCTAGTGGCTGGAAGCCAGAGGCACGGCTCAGCGTCACAGCTCCAGGACTATCCCAGCCGAGGGTCCGCGGCCCCAAGTTCAAGAGCGCCAAGTCTGCAGTGGTCAGCGATGCTTCTACTCAGGGAGGCTTGCTTTTTCCTCCTCCGCAAAACTCTTCATCAGAGGTTGAACCCAGGATCTCTCATCACACACCAGGCAAAAAGACGCCGGATATCTATGTCCCCAGCCCCTCAGTGGGAATTCTGGGCGGGGCTCCACCCTGACCACGCCCCCAGCCCCTCACTGGGGGATTCTAGGCGGGGCTCCACCCTGACCACGTCCCCAGCCCCTCACTGGGGGATTCTAGGCGGGGCTCCACCCTGACCACGCCCCCAGCCCCTCACTGGGGATTCTAGGCGGGGCTCCACCCTGACCACGCCCCCAGCCCCTCACTGGGGATTCTAGGCGGGGCTCCACCCTGACCACGCCCCCATCCCTTACTGGGGGCTTCTAGGCGGGGCTCCACCCTGACCACGCCCCCAGCCCCTCGCTGGGGATTCTAGGAGGCTGTTCTACTTCCGAGCCTCTTTTAGTAGAGGGTCTTAGCCTGGCCTTAAACTCCCAATTCTCCTGTCTGAAGCTTCCTAGTAGTGAAGACGGCAGTCCTGTGTCCCCAGCCTTGCTTCACAGATACTTTTTAAGGTGATCCGAGACTTAAGAACTGTTGCTGTAGTGACGGGAGTCTCTAGTGACCTGCGATTGCGGGCTGGTGCCTGGAAGATCCAGCAGCTAGAGCAAATATTTATAACTCTGGATACACATAATAGATTATAACTTGGACATAAGAAAAATATTGAAATTTAAAATAATGACTTATATGTTCAGAAATTGTGTGGAGACTAAATCTTAAGTGTTGCCACTAAAAAGATTAAGTATTTTCGTTTTATATTTACTTGTTTATTTGAGACAGGGTCTCTCTATGTAGCCCTGGCTGACCTGGGACTAACTCTGTAGACCAGGGTGGCCTCTGCCTCACAAGTGCTGGGATTAAAGGCGTGCGCCACCACCCCGGACTTGTCCTGGAACTCTCAATGTACACCAAGTTGGCACAGAATGAGTTCCTGCCTTCATCTGCTGGTTTGGGGCTGAGGGATCACAGCAAGGACAGGACACAGCTGCCACTAATCACCCCCACCACACTGTCCCCGTCCCACGCCCACTTTCCTCAGGGGCCCCACCCACTCCTGTAGAGCGCCACCTTACACAGTTCAAGGAGTCCATGCCCACTCACTGCGCATGAACCTCTGTGGCCCCACCTACTACTTCCGCCAGACTCCAGGTCCTGCCCTCCTACAGGCCCCGCCCCTCCCAAGGCTCCACCCAAGGCCCCACCTCTCCAGGCCCCGCCCCCAAGCCCCACCTCTCTAGGCCCCGCCCCTCCCAAGGCCCCACCTCTCTAGGCCCCTCCCAAGGCTCCACCTCTCTAGGCCTCACCCCTCTCGCCCCGCCTCAAGGCTCCACCTCTCTAGGCCCCGCCCCTCCCAAGGCTCCACCTCTCTAGGCCCCACCCCTCCCACAGTCTCCACCTCTTTAGGCCCCTCCCCTCCCACGGGCTCCACCTCTCTAGGCCCCGCCCCGCCGGGCCCGCCCCTCTCGCAGGCTCCACCTCTCTGCCCCCCCCCACAGGCTCCACCTCTCTGGCCCCGCCCCTCGGCACTCACTGAGTACAGGTTCCTGACGCGTTCCTCCAATGGCTGCTTGTACTGCACGATGGCTTTCACAGGCTCCATCTTGTCCGGTGGAATCTGGAAGAGTTCCTGTGGGCTCAGGGTCCTGGGGCGCAGGTAAAGGCGCCTGCGCACGGTGACAGAGCAGCGCCGACCCCATAAAGCCGTTCTCTGCCCTCAACACACCGTGCCATGCGCGCACCCGCACACGATACATACATAAATAAATGTGCATTTTTAAAAAAAGAAAGTAATTTTTAAAAATCAAGGCTGGGGCTGTGCTCGGTGGGCAGAACATTCACTGGGCATTCACAAAGCCCTGGGGCCTGTACCCAGCACCGCATCAATTAGGTGTGGTGGCACATGCCAGCACATGCCAGCGCTCAGGAGGTGGAGGCAGGAGGATCAGGAGTTTAGGTCATCTTCTGAGGCAGAGCCTCGCACTGACTGACTGGCCAGGGGTCCCCTGTGCTGCTGCTGAGCACCCTCCCTCCAGATCATCCTGCCAACCCCGGGCAGGTGCTGGGCAGCTGAGCGCGTGTGAGCGCGAAGGTGTGTCTGTAACATCCATTAAAAATAAGAAGAGAGTAAACGTCACCAGGGCAGCCCTGGGGTTGCCCGAGCCCCGCCTGCTCGCCTCTGACGCCCACAGGTGGAGGCTGGGGAGTGAGCTGACAGGCCTGGGAACCCCCCTGCTCCCCGCCTCACACGGTGCACCCAGCGCCCACCTCGAGGCTCACTCACCGACAGGATTTTCTGCAGCTGTTGGTCATTCTCCACCAGCAGAATGTTCACTCTGGCATGCCCGATGACATACTGGCAGGCCTCTGCCGAGTTGGTGGCGTAAATGCCAACACAGAGGCCCCTGGGGACACAGGACCCGCTCAGTCCTGTACAGACTGAGTGCTTTGGAAAGGATTCATTCTTTCCTAAAAGATCTTTTATGTATGTGGGTATTTTGTCTGCATGTCTGTCTGTGCATGTGTAAAGGGTCCACAGTGGCGGGAGGGGATGTCGGATCCCTGGAGTTGAAAATACAGATGGTTGTGAGCTGCCACATGCGTGCTGGGAATCAAACCTGGTCTGCAAGAGCTGCCACATGCATGCTGGGAACCGAACCTGGTCTGCAAGAGCAGCCGGTGCTCTTCCCAGAATTTATTCTTTTTAATCAAGTTGCCTCTGCTCATTTAACTTTGGTGGCCTTATCCTCAATATTTGTGTGACTCCCAGACCCAACACTGAGCAGCCAGTTCATCAACACGACCCCAAGGGTGGAACATACCCAGCCAGGATGGCCCCAATGGCACCGATGACCCACTCACTGGAGTTAAAGCCCAGGATGCCGACGCCATGGAAGCGCTGCAGTCCCAGCTGGAGGGAGCAAAACCAGAAGGCAGCAGCCGTCAGCTCCTGGGCATGCCCACTCCAGCTCCTGGGCATGCCCACTCCTCCTCAGGCCTGATCGTGAGGAGGCTGGCTGCACCGAGCGGGCGGGCGGGAAGCTGCTGTCCAGCCTGCACTCGGGTGCCATGAGCTCACTCTCCTTCCTCCATGCATCCGCGTGATGAAGTCCACGCGGCACTGAACTCACTGCTTTAGCTGTCAATTTCTCGGTGTGTGAGTCAGGCTAGGAAGCACGTCCACTTGGCTCTACGTACAGCCATTTCTACCGTCCGCTTCCAGAATTTTCCATTTTCCCCACATCAATCTCCGCCCCCATTTGACACTAACTCCGTCCCTCCCCAGGCCTTGGCACCCACACCCCACTTCCTGACGCTGTCAGTCTGATGGCTCTAGGAACCTCTTGGGGTGAGATCCTGCAGTGTGTGTCCTCTGTGTAAGGTTCATGTCACTGAGTCCTGGCCCGGGGCCTCCACGTAGTTCCGTGTATCAGGTTCCCCTGTTTTCAAGGCTGCATGATATGCCACGGCACAGACACATCCCACTTTCTTATGCACCAGAACTGGGCACTTGGCTGGTGTGAACAGTGCTGTAGCGGATACAGATGTATGGATGTTCTTTTAAGGCCCAATCTTGACTCCTCCGAGCACATACTTAGAAGTTCTGGGTGGTCTACCAATTCTCTATCTAATTCATAGGAAATGTGTATGAATGTTGTGCATACCTGTGCATGTGTGTGCACACAGAGGGTGTCCTCAGGTGTTATTGCTCACATGCCATCCATCTGGGTGTATGGGTGTGCAGGAGGCCGGGGCAGAACCTCACATTTTTCTCTGCCCCTGTGTTGAGAGAGGTCTCCCACTGGACCAGGCCAGTGAGCTTTTGGAATCAGCCTGTGTTCACCCACATGCTTGGGGGCTGCAGGAACATGCAGCCACAGCTGTGAGCCTTTGGGATGAGCCTCTGCTCACCCACTGGCTGGGGGCCTGCAAGAACACGCAGCCACACCTGGCTTTTGACATCCGTTCTAGGGACTCAAGCTCAGGTCTTTGTTCTTGCTGGGAAAGGTCCAAGGAGTGTGGCCCCTCTGGGGAGCATGGCCCTAGTCCACACCTTTATATCTTTCCAGACAAGGTCCCTGGAGCTCGCCATACAGGCCAGGCTGCTGGAGGGGAACCCAGGATCCACCCTTCTTCATGTCCTTAGTTTTAATCGTGAGGATGTGTGTGTGCATGTGGGTGTGTGCATTTGCATACAGCTGCCCACGGAAGCCAGAGGTGTGAGTTCCCTGAAGTTGTAGGTGGCTGTGAGCCACTGCTGGGAACCAAACATGTCCTCGGGAAGAGCGGGAAGAGCGAGTCCTCGGCTGCTGAGCGCTGCTCTGGCCCCAGGCTTTAACATTAGACTGACGTACTATGCTGTCTGAATGAGAATGGTCCCCATAGGTCCATATGTCTGAATGCTTGGGCCCAAGTAGTAGAACTGTTTGGGAAGGGTCTGGGGTGTGGCTTTGTTGGAGGAGGGGTGTCACTGGAGTGGGCTTGGAGGGTTCAAAAGTCCACCTCAGCCCAGTCTCACTCCTTCTCCCTCTGCCTGTGGATCAGGATGTAAAAGTCTCGGCTACTGCTCCGGCACCTGTCTGTTCTCCACCATGGTTGTGGACTAAGCCTCTGAAACCGTAAGCAAGCCCCCAGTGAAATGCTTTCCGGTATAAGAGTTTCCTTGGTCATGGCGTCTCTTCACAGCAACAGAACACTGACCGAGACAGAAGTTGGTAACGGGGAGCAGGGTACAGCTGTGACAGGCCAGATAGGGAAGTGGCTCAACGCTTTAAGTGGGCCTTAATGGGCCATCCTAGGAGGGTCTTGGAAGACAGTGGTGCTGGGAGACTGTAGACTATGAGGGCCTAGCTCAAGGCGTTTCAGAGGGGAACAATATTAGCAACAGGGCCAGAGACCATTCTTAGGATATTTTGGTGAAGAATGTGGCTGCTTTCTGCCTGAGGCTAACGTGAAGAGATCTGGGCCAACGTTGTGGGCAAAGGCGATTTCAAGGCAGCCTAAGACTGACTGTGTCGTATGGCTGTCAGTGACCTAAGCAGGTCTACAAGGAGTGAGCAAGGCAAAGAGAAACACAAGATGTGCACTGAGCAGCATCAGGAAGCATGATGTTGGGGCCAAGCCCTGTGCTCAAGGGCAGGAGAAACAAGAAAAGCCTGATGCTGGAAATGGAGGATTGGTGTCTTCAGTCCTGCAGCCGAGAAAGGAATGAACGGAAGGCTTGTGCAACGAAGCAAGCAGCAATGAGTCCAAGCGCATGCATGCATGCATGCATGCATGCATAGGTCTGGGGTGGCAGGGCCCACCCCACGCAGGCAGCGGGACTTGGCAGCATCAGCCATACGGCTGTGGTAGAGTCGTGAGGGGCACAGGAATAAAGTGGTCATGGACTCTCTCTGTGGCTAAGGGAAGCCAAGGCCAGGCATGTGGCAGGAGAGTCCCTGCAGAGAGGCTGGGACAGTGAGGCCGGGATTGTACTGGAGAACCCAGGACCCAGGATGATGGCGATGCCAGAACTATGGGACACCTGCTGAGGAGAGGGCAGGTCAGGCAGGGAAGCAGCCTGAGGGAGAGAAGTGTGCTGTTGTCACTGAAGCCGGAAAGAGAAGAGCCCCAAAGAGCCTCCAAGCTCTCTGACACCGGGTGACAGGATACGGAGTCCCCATCCGGCTTCCGTCCTTCTTGGTGCAGTCTTTGCTCACTTTTGGAATGATAATGTAGGCTATGAGTCACTGTGTGCTGGAAGTATGTGATCCCTGCTTTGATTCTACAGTTAAGAGACTGCTTTGGGTCTCAGGAGAGACTTTGGATTTGAAACAGTGTTAAGACTGTGACAGAAGACTACGTGGACTTCTGAAGTTGGGCTGAAGCATTGCATTATGGTATGGCCGCAAGCCTATGGGTCAGGGAGTGGTGGCTGAATGAGAACGGCCCCCAGAGGCTCATGTTTGAAGGCCTGGTCCCCAGTTGGTGGAACGGTTTGGGGAGGATTAGGAGGTGTGGTCTTGTTGGAGGAGGTGTGTCACTGGGGTGGGCTCTGAGGTTTCAAAGGTCCACTCCAGGCCAAGCCTTGTGCTCGGCCCCCAGCTTCCCATAGCATGTAAACTCTCAGCTACTGCTCCAGCAACATGCATTCTGTGTGCTCCCCACCATGATGATCATGGACTAACCTTCTGAGATTGTAAGCCAGACCCAATTAAATGCTTCTGTTCATAAGTTGCCTTGGACATGGTGTTTCCTCAAGTAGCCCAGGCTAGACTCTGGCATGCTCTGTTGCAGAGGATGACCTTGAACTCCCAGCCCTCCTGCCTTTCCTGAGTGAGGGTGACAGGTGTGCACCACCATGCCTGGTTTTCATGGTACTGAGGATGGAGCGCACACATTGTGCACGCCAAGAGACCACTCTGGTCGCTGAGGTTCCTCTCAGCTTCTTTTTAACTTTTCGTTTGTTTTCTGAGGCAGGTGGGGTTTCAGCACCCCAGTCTGGCTCAGAACTTAGGGCCCTCTTGCCTCAGCTCTCCGCATGCTGGGATCCCAGAGCCTGCCCCCCACTGGATGGACCACTGCTCCTGAATGGCTGGTGGAGGGAGATGCTCACCTTGATCAGAGATCTGGCTGCCTTGCGGCACGCATCATAGAACTGGCTGAATGTCAGTGTGTCCCACTTTTTGCCGTTCTTCGAGGCCAGGGCTGGGTACGCGCCAAACCGCTCAACGGACTCCTGAAAGAGCTCGGGGATGGTCATCGGGGTCTCATGGCCTGGCCCGTGTCTGGAGAGCCTCAGGAGCACCTCTCCGTCACAGTGAGTGTTCCACAGCCTGAGGGGAGCTGTAAGAGTCACAGGCGTGGGTGGTGCTGCGTGGACGGGGGCTCGGTGTACACCGGGCCAATTTGTTTTGTTTTGTTTTGTTTTTGAGACAGGATTCCTCTGTAGCCCTGGCTGTCCTGGAGACGGAGCCAGGCACGGTGGCTCCTGTTGATCGGCTCAGTGCTCAGGGGACCACAGCAGCTGAGTCAGTGTGGGCTTGCTGTACACACGGAAGGATGAGTTCAGGTCCTAAGTGCCCAGGTTTCAAAAAAACAACCAGGAGCAGATGGTGGTCTGGTGGGGGAATGTCTTTTGTATGTTGTGAAAATATGTTGCTCTGATTGGTTGATAAATAAAGCTGTTTGGCCAATGGTGAGGCAAAATAGGGTTAGGCGGGACATTCTAACTAGAGAGGAGGAAGTTGAAAGGCAGAGAACAGAGGACGCTGCCAGACGCTGCCATGAAAAGCAAGATGTAGATACTGGTAAGTCGTGAGCCACATGGCAAAGTACAGATTTATAGAAATGGGTTAATTTAAGATGTTAGATCTGCTAGTGAGAAGCCTGAGCCAATAGGCCATACAGTTCGTAATTAATGTAAGCCTCTGTGTGTTCATGTGGGTCTGAGCAGCTGTGGGACCACAAGGATGTGGGAGCTGGGTGGACACAGGAAAACTTTCAGTTACAGTGGGCCTGTAACCACTGGCTCAAATAGACAGACAGACAGACACACAGGTGGACAGAGATTAGATAGACAGACAGACAGATAAGAGATAGACAGACACACAGACACACAGGCAGAGATACAGACAGACAGACATACAGACAGATAGAGATAGATAGATAGATAGATAGATAGATAGATAGATAGATAGATAGATAGACAGACAGACAGACAGACAGATGATAGGCAGGGGAGTGGCTGAGGAAGACACCTAACATTGCCTCCTGGCCTCTACATGCATGTGGGTGCACTAGGGTGTGCGTACATACACACAGGAGTTTGGGTCATCCTTAGCTTCACAGTGCGTTCAAGGCCAGCCTGGGCTACATGAGACATGGTCTCAAATGGGGACTCGAGACACCGCACAGGAGCTGGCACAGGCTGTGGCAGACGGCAGAGCGCCGACGGCAGTGTCAGGACTGCACATGCGCAGCTCGGGGCCTGGCGTCTCCTGTCTTACATCATCAGCAAACACGCGTGGTCACGAAATCCCCGCCTTAAAAAGCCGGAGGCGGACCCCACCCTCTCTTTCTGTTTGCTCTCTGCTCTGCTCCCCTTCCCTCCCCCGCCAGCCTGGCTCCCCCCACCCCCATCCCCTCTTCTTTCTGATAAAGCCCTTTTTAACTCGTAGTCGTGACCGTTGCCCGTGACTTTTCCGCCAATAACCAGCACCGTTTACCCATCATTTGGTGCCATGAACTCAGATAGGAAATTCTGCACGCTCAGCATCCGGGGCTGAATGTCAGGAACCTGGCCTGGGACCTGTAACTGGAAGAGGTGTTTATCCCAGCAACAGAGACCCTAGCTAAGACACTCCACAGATGTACCTAGCGGTAAGGACTGCCAAGGCATACTGTTGGAGTCGCAGAGCTGCCTGGAAGAGGCTCAGACCAGCTGAGGCACCTCGTTCTCCAGCCTGTCCTGTGGCCTGCGGGCTGTGTGATACACTCCAGGTTCCCAGCTCTGGGAGCCGTCACCCATGCTGGGGTGGGCCTTGGTGACGCAGCTGTCTCCCCTCACCCATATGCCTGTCAGTGACCCCAGGAAAACTCACGTTCACCAAGCAGGACTTTGGTGATGTGTGCACTTCGGTCTGCTGTGGGCTCCCTCCCTGGCGGGAGTAAACTCATGTCTCAGGCATCTATTAGCATTTAAGCATCATCTGGCTGCTTCCTTGGGAACACTGCCAGTATACCTTGGCCCGCTCAGGGTCCTGACACAGCATCATCCTATGTTTGTGTAGCCTGTTTGTGCATGCGCTAAGCCTACTTTAAGAAGCAGGTGCCCCTGGGTGGTGGTGGCTCACGCCTTTAATCCCAGCACTCCAGAAGCAGAGGCAGGCGGATCTCTGTGAGTTTGAGGCCAGCCTTGGGCTAGAGTGCAAGATCCAGGACAGGCTCCAAAGCTACACTGAGAAACCCTGTCTGGAAAGAGAGAGAGAGAGAGAGAGAGAGAGAGAGAGAGAGAGAGAGAGAGAGAGAGAGAGAGAGGCAGGCCCCACCCACCTTTCTCTCTCTCTTCCCACCAGGCTGCTCTGTGCCCCGTCTCACTCCCCTCTCTTCTGTCCCCCCAATAAAATCTACATGGGCGCCATCTGCATGGTGTTCCTCTCCTCCCTTCTGCCTGCGCGGTCTGAGGTACACCAGCACCCTGGAATCTTCAACAGCGACACTTTTCCAACTGAAGGGTTGCTGAGCCCCTGCACCTAACACCGGCATGACTGGTAAGCACCCCCTCTCCACCTCTGGCCATCCCCCTTCCCCACGAGTGAGACCTGCTTCTCAGACCTCTCAGGCTTAGGCTCTCGGCCCTGCCCTTCCTCAGTCGATCTTCAATTCCTGGGTCGCCAGAAACTCTAAAGTCACTGGATCTTGTTTTTTCCTGCCTCACTCACCGGGAAAAAGCCTACCAGCAATACAGGTCCAACATCTCAATCCAAAGGGCCGCATACGGGCACCCCATACCCCGATATTTCACGGGACCTTTGCAACTTCTACCAGTGATCCAACAGATGGAAGGGGGTGCCCTGCTGGGGCTGTGCGCTCCCGGCCCTCCCCCTTTCCTGTTCAGCTGTCTATCCTGTCCGCTCTCCGCTCCCAGCAGCCTGCAGACCCGCGGCTTGGGCCCCTGCCGGCTGGAGGCCTCCCTCGCCTGCTCCCTGCTTCTGTGCCGGCGGCGGCGTCTCACACTTTCGCTCAAAGTGTCTCCTCCTCCCGATTGTCCTGTGTTCGCTGCCTCCCACCGCTGCGGCGGGGCCGCCATGCTGCAGCCTGGGGGTAAGGGGGGGGGTCCTTCTTTCGGGCTCTGCTGCTACTCGGGCTCCCAGTTTTCTCTACAGCACCAGCTCCATGCTCCAATGCATGAGAATGCGAGAGGCGTTGCTGCTCGTGCCTGGACGGACAAACGCCCAATGGGCGTCACTGCCGCCTCTGCCTCCTCCGCCTCCTCCTCCACCACCACGGCCAGGAAACGCCTGTCATTCTTATGGTTTCTTACATGCTGCTCTATACTGTAAACTCTTATTTTAAGATTTTTAAGTTGGTCAGCTGACACAGTTTCCTGGGAAAGTTTTTTTTCATCTTTCTGTTGGAATGTATGTATGAATAACGGGGCCACAGTATGTTTTGTTAAAACTGGTCTTGGATTGAAAGACCCCAGCATACTAGCTTAGCCTAACGCCATTTCGAGTAAGGTCTGAAAAGCACGGGGTATCTACGGTCGGCCACCTGGCCCCAGAACAGGGTACTATAGGTCAGAAAAACAACTTGTAACCAAGTCAACAGGCGTGTCGAGCTCGGGG